TCATCAGGCTTTCAAGATAACTTAACTTAAACTTAATTAAACCGATTGCATTTTACTCTGTGAGAGAGGGAAACCTCTTCTAGCACAAAAACTTTATCTTCTATGGTTTCCGCCTAGCAGCTAGCTACTTTTTAAATGCAAGGCAGTGCCTTTTATGGATAAGCCTAGTACTCAGATCCAAAAACTGTTTTCCAGCAAACAAATGTCATATATTCTTCGAGCGGCCAGTGTGTGACCATAGGTGTGCACTGCATTCTGAACGGTTACACTTCTCAGACCGCTGCTTAGTTTTGTTTAAAGTTAATAAAATGCACTTCTTCGGCTGGGGCTGCTCTTCCACAGGCATATCCTGAACTTCCCAACATTTTATTGGCAAGGTAATGTGTCTGACTATCAGCAGCAGTAGGTGGCGACGCCTCCCGTGCCGGACACCGTGAAGAAAAAATGTTTTGAAAACAATATTTGTTTTATATTTATGAAAATTAATAAAAATAATAAATTATAATATCCATATAATTGTCATTCATATAACACTGCATTAATTAGATTCTATTTGTCTTCATTATTGAAATATTTCATTTGGTTTTTTGTACTCTTATTGCAATGTTTGCTTCATGTTTGCTGGAAAAATATATCAAATTGATTTAATTTTCGAGGTGGAACCATACCAAAAAAACAAGCAAATACTTCGGATACTTTTCCAGGATATACCGACCTTTTTTTTTTGTCTGAGTATCTGAGGATCTGAGTACTGCCTTCCGTACAGAGCCTAGAAAACAGTTTTTGCCGTAAAAAATTTCTTATCGGTGTCATACGAATATCAACCCTGATTCTGTTCGGTGTTTTTTTCGATCTGAGTATTAGGCTATAGTGGGTGCCATCGATCGATCCACCGATTCCCCATAAATATCTTTAAAGTATCGTATTTCTATAGATAAATGTTTGGGGATGTTTGATGATTGTGACTTATATGCTCGCGCGTGTGGGTTGATTGACTGGTAACCGAGGGTTACCTAATAAATCTGCAAGTTTTTGTTGTTATTAGTGGTGATAGTTGCTCTAATACGCCGAAAAGTTGAAAAATCTGCTTTAAGCGCAAAAGCAGTCGAATATTTCGAATAGACGCACATGCATCCGAAAGTGACGCAACTTTTTACCACCACTAGAGCCCTATGCTAAACCTATGTTAAACACGCAAAAATATATTTGCAGATAGATAAAACATGGATACATCACAAAATGAAAGAGAAGGAACGTGTGAGTCTCTTTTGGGGACGCGACGCGTATTCAGTCAATGTGTACATTTTCGAACTTATGATTTTCTAGAATTTTAGAATTAAAAACAAAAAAATTTTACATTTTGCATTTTTTCTACATCTGTTATCTACATCTACAATGTATATTCTACATCTAACATGTATATTCTACATGTTCCATTTATATTCTACATCTCCTCCGCTAGAGGGCGTTCGCGTACATAACGAGGCAGAGTGTGCGAGCGAGAAAGAGAATGAGTAGCGGGTCTCTGGGTGGCGATGGCGGGGGAAGCAGCTGAAAATGAATTTCTTCATTGTGGCTATAATTATGATCCGATCTGATTCAGATTCGGCAATCTGGTAGAAAAATTTGAAATACACTTGTAGCAGTGTGATATCACATGGGTCTGGAAACAAAATTTTGTTGCTCCAGCTCTTATAGACTTTGAGATCCAGGCGACAAACAAGACGGAAGGACGGACAGACGGACAGACATGCCTCTATCGACTCGGCCTTCTCTGCGTTACACACATCCACTTTTACCACAAATCTAATAAGCCCCTTAACTCTTTTTTGAGTACGGGTATTAAAACGTAAGCGATATATAAATAAAATTACGAAAAAATAAAATTAGCAACGTTTTGCGTTAGAAGGCGAAATTATGAGCCAGGTGTGAGAGACGCTTTAAGTCTGTCGAGAACTCTTAAAGATACGAGTGACCTTGACCCTTAATCTGCAAGTCATCTCTTTCCATTTGAATAATGCCAATATTTATTCCTAATTATTCAGGGTCTAAACTATACTATTAAAATTAATCTAACCACATCAGTACTCGGAAATCTTATTTCAAAATTTAACATAGCTCAGAGGAGGCCTAGTTGGGGCCACTGGACGGGTGACAAGTAGAGGTGGAAAAACATCGATGCTACTATTGATGCATCGATGTTTTTAAAATTTTTATAAGCATCGATGTTTTTTGGCGAAACATCGATGTTTTGTTTTTATGTTTTTGTCGTCTATGAAAGAAAAACCTAAGGAGAGAAGAAGATCAAGCTCAAATGGTTACATTTTTAGATGAATACAGACGGCATGATGTCATTTAAAGCTGGAGCCCAAAAATATTTGTGCGTCCTGCCATTACTTTTTCTAGCAGGATATATGTCGCTAAATTCTGGGCGGAGATATGACGCCAAACTCCGCGAGGAGATATGTATGTATGTCGTTTCAAAGTCTCCTTGCGGAGATATGTCGTTAGGGCCTGCCAGGAGATATGTCGCCCTGAGATATGTCGCTATGCCCATCCTACGAGTCAGAGAGGATGTTCAGCAAGGGTGGGCAAATTATTTCCGATCGTCGTAGCCGCCTTAAGCCGGAAGTGGTGGACCAATTATTATTTCTCAACAAGAATCAAGACTTATTTTAAGATATAATCTGGTAAATGTACTTTTATATATATATATATATATATATACATATATATTTTTGTGAATGGATTTAGGAACTCTTGATCTCAAATGAAATAAAACTGTTATTATGTATAATATTAATCATGTTCTTGCAGTTTACTATGTATTTTTGATATTTTTTTTATCTTGCAAAACATCAATGTTTCATCGATGTTTATCACTAAAATATCGGAAACATCGATGTCTCCAAACATCGATGTTTTTCCACCTCTAGAGACAAGTTGCGGAAACGGTCTAGGTAAGTCAGCTGCGAATAAGTGGGCATCCCAATGAAATTCAACCTTGTTGTCTCTGAGAGAGAGAACCGGAAATAAGTAGCCGTGGACAGCGAATCAGCAACACTGACAATGTGCTTGTGGTGCCGCCGGACTAAGGTGTTATTCGACCTGTGCCGAGAGTCACATAGGCTGGGGTCCCGGTATAAAAACAGGCCCAGTCGCTAACGAACAGCTCAGGGATTTATCAGCCTCATTTTCTAGTGATGCCTTACCCGAGCAACATGGATCTCTACCCAGACTGACCTTCCCCTTCTCTGTATCACGTAGTGTGAATAATGAATGACAAGTATATAAAACAGCAAAAACTAAAAAAAAATTAAATTGGCACTCCCCAAACGCCAACTGGGAGCAATCCCAAGCCTGAAAAAGGCAGTACAAAAAATGTACGTTTTCTGTGCACATTCTCAGCTGACTGGCTGAATAAGGAAGAGTGGACATCGGCACTGCTTCCCAATTTAGTATGGGTCCACAATCAAACAGGAAGCGCTCGCAAGAGATGATTGGACCGACTGAAAAGCGACAAGCTTAAAAGCCCGTCACACAAGAAGACATAAATCATATAGTAAACAGGTGCTCCTCCAATAAATCTTAAAACCACGATTGGCTGAAAGAGTCTTCATCCCAGAGGCAGGAAAAGCCCCACAAACAACCAAAAGACTTAATTATAATCAGTATATCATCCTTTTTTCTTAAAACATTTGAGAGACTAGTCGGGATATATTTAATATCGATATATTAGTAAGCAAAAACGATAATATACATGCGATGTCTACGCTGACTCTCTTCTTCTTCAATTACGCAGCTGAACAGACGTGTGCAGTGACAATCCGGCAAATTGAAAAAATATATATAAAAAATAAAGATATAAAAAAAATCCTTGCGTGTATTTGAATTATTGCTGTATTACGTTCCTGAAAGAAAACTTCAGTGGGTTCATAATATATTGAAGTGGAATATAACACTAGACATGGTTATTTATGGTTTATTTTTTTTTAAGAATTTTAAAAAATCTGTTCTTTTTGCGGGCCCAACTGCCAATTGGAAACAAATCAAACGAAAAGGGGTTGAATTTTTGGAACCTGAACGTGTTTCTTTGGCATTGGACCAGCAACGTACCATACGGTATTTTTCAGGTAAAATGCGGTTTGAGTCGTTTTGGTCAAACGGCTTCAACTTGGCCGTTCATCCATCGATTCTTACAAACGATACCTTAAACGACGCCGAATTAATGCGTCTATCTAAAACTTAAAATGCGTGCCAAGAATTATTTTTTTTTCGACTTTTACTGAGTTTTTAAAGTCAAAATTTTGGAAAAAAATACGGCAAAAAATGATAAAATTTTAGTTTGAAAGCTTGAAATTTTCAAGGCATTAAGCTGCAGCTACAAAGTGTCTGGGTCGGATCTATAGCTGCATTTGTCAGCTTTTCAGAACTGCAAAGTTCTGTGCAACCATATATAAGATACTTAAATTATGTGAAAAATATAAGCACTACCTCTGAAAAAAGCCATGAAAAAGAATACCAGATTTTAAATATTCTTAAAAAAAATAAAATAAAAAAAATATATTCTGCTTATAAAAGTGAAAGAAAAACATGGAAAAATCATTCGTTCGCGACCCGTACTTAGTTAAATTTTCAAAAAACCAAAAGAGATAGTTTCTTTTGTGGATACATTAATCCTCTTTAAAATTTAATTGCTTTAGAATATTACATTGCATTTAGAAAATTTTTGCATTTTACTAGATTAAGACAAAGCGACTTCTAGTTGCGTTTTACATTGGCGACTACATGTTTATTGGGGTTCTATGAACCACATCTTTTTCACTAAAAATAAAGCTAACAAAATCCTATCAAACCGAAAAAAAAGGGTTGGGAAAATGTTTGTTTTCTATCTTTTTTGTGCATCAAAACCGCGCAACGTACGTTTGTGACCCGCGGAGATGCCCATATGATATGGAGGTTTGAAAAAAGCACAAAGAATTTAATATTTAAAAACTTACCCCCCATTAGGCCAGCAATAAAATCCACAAACATTCTTTGTGCTCAGCCTTCAGATGTAGATTCAAATTAATCTCAGTCTTGGTAATTTTTCGTTGTATATTCTCTGCAAATTAGTTTAAAAATATGTTTTTTTAATAAGCCTAATGTATAAAATATCGAATGAGTTAATAAGTATTCAGCGTTCGACATCAAAACGAGTTGGTACGTTATTTTTTTTTTTTATCGGTTACGTTCAATTGCCGTAACAAAAGGGTTCCACTAAGATTAATATCAAAGAGATTACAAATTTTCAATAATGAGGCCTAGCACCCAGATAAGAGTACGTCATATCACGCTCTACTCCGCCAGAGATCGCAGAGAGAGAGAGAGAAAGCTGCTTTTTTTAATTCTATAATAATGGTCCATTCTGATCCCAAATTTTCAATCAGGTAGATATGGAAATTCTCTATGGTGAGTTTTCAGTTTTCAATTTGCCAAGCTTTTTGTCACCTATACACTTCCAAATCAATTAAAACAACTCGATTCGAAACGTTATAACAATGTTAAATTACACAGGCGCTAGCGGAAGACGATTGCTCGCTCTTTTGCCCGGCCAGATAAAAGTACACAATAGGGTTCGGTATGCAACCTATGCGGCGAGAGGCAACGACGGCCGATCAAAAGCAAGAGCCGAATCGGCAGATGCAGAGCGCCCTTTAACAGGGAGAGCGCTTCAGCACTTCCGAACGCTAGAGACTACATAAGTTTAGGTTTAGATACTCTAATACAAATAGGTACTGCAACATTTAATATTATAGAATCGACGATTAAATAGCCGCTGGCCCGAACATACTCAACCCGTTGGAAGTTCGCCTTTCAACTGACTTCTCAAGGGGCAACAAATACAGCCGTGTAACGGCCATCCAGATGGTTCCTGAGGCCGTCTTCAAATCAGCCACGCGGCATACTCCATCCTTGCCCTTGACGACATCGACCACTCTAGCCAGTGGAAGATTCTCGTCCTTCACACACACGAAATCGTCCATGAGCGCTTTTGCAAAATAGTGAGATACTCTTCGCGCCAACGCCTCCAGAATGTCTTCTGCAGTTTAGTGACCCGCTGCTAACCATCCAGACGATTGTGATTGAGCTTCGTTAGGTCAGGCTCGATCATTTTTTTTTGCGGGCCTCCCAACAGCAGTTGAGCGTCAAAACATCCAATTCATCAGGATTTTCTGAAAGTGAGAGCAAAGGGCGAGAATTAACAATGCCAGTAAATCGAGTCAGAAAAATAAGATTCATGGACCTTCTGCATGTGCGAATCGCTCAGGAAATGCTTCTTTAGCTCCAGAAGATCGTTCTAGGCGCCAACGAAATTTGTCGCATTGTCCGACCAAATTTGACGTGGTCTTCCTCGCGTAGACGTGAAAGGCTTCAATGCGCCGCGGTATTCAGATTCGTTTCAAGCTCCATGCGTATGGCCTCAGAGGTGAAGCATATAAACACAATAATCCACTCCAGCTACTTCAAATGCCCGCGATCCTCTAGACCCTCCTTAGGCAGGTCTCCTAACCATGCGTGGCCTCGTCCTGAAGTTTCTCAAAAACTTGGTAACCACTTTCGAGTCGGGTATGATTCCTCCAATAGGCCAATATTCTAATCGAATTTTGGCAGGCAAGGCGCGAGGTCCGGCATGGAGGTTCTGCTGATCAGCTTATCACTGCAGAAGTTACGGGATATCCCTTGGGCAAAATGAGCAGGTGCTGAGCATTAAATGAGAGCGATGAGTTGCCGAGACGACCTCCAACTCAAAATAAACAAGACGGATCGAGAGAGCGAACTGATGGAGCTAGACTTCCTGACTTGCCCACTGCGTCTAATCTCCTTTGTGTCCGACCATAAATTTGTCAGCTAAAAGTGTCGAACTAAAAGATGAGTTCCTTGCTGAATGTCAGAAACCGTGAGTCCAGGATGTCTAAGACGATGAACGAATTTATGCATGCAGGCAAATGTGCGCTGCATGTCAAAGAAAGAGTTTGGAAATTTGCATCCGGACGTGAGATCAGCATGTGGCGACGCGATCAGCAATACACTCTTGCGAAGCTCAATGGTCATAGTTTCAGAAATGGGAGATACAGCCCACTCATCTTTAGAGCCTAACAAAAACGTGGGGCCGTGAAACCACAGCTCTGACTGGATGAGGTAGCTGGGAAGCGAGCCTCTGTAGAGGATATCAGCGGGATTCAACAATGTGGGAACGTAGCGCCATTCCATGCCTTGCGTCAACTCCTGAATTGTTGCCACTCGATTTGCCATGAAAACCTGAAATTTGGCTGGCTCATCCCGAATCCAAGATAACGCCGTAGACGAATCCGACCAGCAGTAAAACTGACCTGGGAAAATTCCCGTCTCCTTTAAGTTGCGCATAACCTTCGCAAGCAAATGGGCTCCACTCAATTCCAGCTTTGGAATCGACAATGATTTTAATAGCGCCACTCGAGACTTTGAGCACAAAACATTGCTCGACGACTCCCCTTGCCTGGACACGACATATATGCAAGCACCATATGCTTCCATGCTGGCATCACAAAATCCATGAACCTGTACAATTGTGCTGGAATTATGGACAACGCGAGGAAAGGAAATGCGAGAGATGCTTGCCAAACTGTTTCTCAGGTCAATCCAAGTTGAGTGCAGCGCTGTCGGTAGGCTTTCATCCCAGTCCAAATGTTCTCTCCAAAGCTGCTGAAGAAAGATCTTGCACCTGACAATAACAGGATTAATCAATCCAAGAGGGTCGTAGAAACGCGCAATAGTTGACAAAACCGACCGCTTGGAGGGCCTTGAATTCGAGTCCAGCGCGGACAAGGCAAACAGCAGCTGATCCGACGCAGGGTCCCAAGCTAAACCAAGAGTTTTGGTAATGTCGCTTCCATCATGAAACCGTAGAAATGTCTCCACGTCGTCCTCCGGAATTCCATCAAGCACCTCCTGGTTACTCGAGCACCATTTTTTAAGCTTAATGTTACCGCAAGACAGTAGACTTGAAGTTTGGCGCATCTTTTCCATAACCTCTGCGACCGAGTTGCCGCCAGAGATGAGATCATCAACATAGAACTCCTGTTGCAGAGCAGCTGAACCAAGAGGGTAGGGATTACCCTCCTCGATGGCCAGCTGGTACATTGCGCGGACAGCTAAAAATGATGCAGCCCTCGTACCGCATGTGACGGTGTCTAATATGTAGACCAGACTCGCCAGAGGATACACTGGAGAAAATTGTCAGGTGGAGATACCTTTACGCAACGGTACATTTTACAAATGTCACCATTAAGAGCGAAGAATATGTGCGGAACCGGATCAATATGTTAAACAATGCAGGCTGAATAACAGGACCTATCATCATCACATCATTTAACGAGCATCCAGTTGATGTAGCTGCAGAGCCATCGAAAACGACACGGAGTTTTGTCGTGGTACTGTCCTCCTTTAAATCGCAGTGATGAGGCAGAAAATACTTGCAGAGGCTACGTGAGTCAGGATGGACTTCGGACATATGTTTTAAATCAGTATACACTTTCATTAAAGCTGAGTAATGCTCCTTGAGCGAGGGATTACGCGACAGTTTTCACTCCAAACTGAGAAATCGTTGATACGCCTGAGTATAAGACTGTCCCAAGCGATAAGCATCATGCTTTAAAGGCAGTCGAATGGAGTACTCCCCTGATGACAAACGTGAAAAGTGGCTTACGAAATGCGCCTCACAGTCTATTTCTTCCTTTGTACTCAAACTAGCCTCCACACAATTCTCGACCTCCCAAAACATACGAAGAGTTATCCGGAATCCGGAGAACTTTGGGTTGCCAAAAGCGACGAGCTTGATACCCTCTGGCCACCACCAGATACGATCCACCCAAGCCGGGTCTTCTGCAGAAGAAGCAATTCATCTATGAGCTTGATTTTCCCTACGCAGAGGAGGTCATAGAATATACTGGCGCCAATGAGGAGATCGACTCGCTGAGGATTAAAGAATGCAGCATCGGCAAGCTGAATATTGAAGGGAATGTTCCAATCGGCTACATTAACTGCCAGACTTGGTTGGCTATCTGTGATTGTGGGTGCGATGAGAGCAGTGAGTGTGGTCGAATAGTCCGAAGTGCGAGACTGCATGTAAGTGCTGACGGTGGAACCGTCAGTGGATACGCTAGTATCGCCCAGACCAGAAAAAAGGGCAGACGATTGAGTTCTCCTAAGCTGAAGCTGCTGGGCGAACCTGGAGGTAACGAGATGAAGCTGAGATCCTGAATCTAGAATAGCGCGACAAGGAACCAAAACGCCAGATTGATTCTTCACCAAATCAACAGCTGTAGCCAATAGCACAACATCAGAGTGGAGACCTTGTGCAGCAAGAGAGGTAGACGCATGAGATGGCACACTGCTAGCAGAATCCTGAATAGCTCCTGGTTTTACCGCTCGTTCTGGAGGAGAAACATCTGGCGAGCTTTGCGCTTTGCTTCCTTCCGCAAACTCTACATTGGCCACCTGTACATGCGCGAGTCCGAAAACCCGATTTTAAGCACTTAAAACAACGTGACAGCTTCTTCACTTCCTTGTGACGCAGAAACGGAGATAAATTTGTGAAGATGCTGCACGAGTATAGTCCGTGGTCCGCTGAATGGCAGAAAGGGCATCCAGACGGGTCGGCGGAAGAATTAGAGGCAACAAATGTTTTTTTTAGATGTGATGTAGACTGGCTTTTTCCCACCTGAGCGCTACCAGCGTGTGTCGCTATAACGTATTGCACGTTCTCCGTTCTTCTGGCATCGCTCCCCAGCTGTGGGTATCCTGTTCGATGAGGCAGTCTCTTCCCTTTTTGTTTGGGTCTTCGAATCTAGTTTTTGCAGCAGCATGTGAATTATCATGCATCCCGATATCTCCTCAGCATGTCTGCAGTGCTCGCGTATGCAAGTTGACTGCGTCCGAAAACTCCCGAAGCCTTTTAGCAGAAGGCGAATCTACCTCCCTGAGCCCAAGAATCTACTTTATGTGTGCCTGGAAAACAAGTCGTTTATTATTAAAACGTTTGCTAAGTATGTCCAGAGCTACACGCCAATTGCCACTGGAGAGCTCCAACGATCGAGCCGAATCCAGGGCCGCATCCGAGAGACATGAGCGAAGATGTGGGATATTCTCGATTTCACTGAGATCTGCATCCCCTTCGATGACCGAATTGAACATGGCAATAAAATCCGCATATTCCACATAGCCACCGGAGAAGCTAGGTAGCTTCAGCTCAGGAAGCCGCTGCTTGTGAGCCATGATGATGGTATGACCTCCAGAGCTGTTTGGCATGCTAGTGGAATGAGCAGCTACGCGTAAGTGAGAGCAGACAGCAGCTCGGCCTTAAAAGAAATGAACAGCCTATCGAAGCTTTCACGCAGCTCACTTCCAATCTCGTCTTCATCCAGTGATTCCAACTCATGATGGGACTTGTTAAACTCCTCACGCATTTCCGCCAGCATATCAAGACGCACATCTATTTCAGACGCACTTAGTTTTTCGATTTTTTTTCCCGAGAATGACTCGCCAAGACGGTGCAGTCGATCATGCAGAGACTGAACTTTACGCTTGTAAAGCCTCAGCCTTTTTTCCTCCATTTCAATATTTCCGCCCGCGCCTGTATTCGGTTCATTATCCATGCCAACCGGTGCAACCGGTAATGCAACGAAACAACGGATAATGTAAGACCACTTAAGCGACGGCGAACAGAACGGGAGCGGGAATAGAAGACACGGAAAGTAAGAACCGCGGCTTCAGCGACGCAGAGCAAGAGAGATTCGGCGATTAAGCAACGGAATATAAGACGTCTGCAGTCTCACAGAACTTGCACTTTAACTGTTCTTTTTTGCACAAAATGTATTTGTTGGTAGTTGAACAGCACAGCAACAAATATCTTTTTCGATTTTTATAGGTTTTAAGCGAAACGCGATTAAAAATATAAGTTAAATCACGTCGGGTTCAACTATGTTTATTTATTTATTTATTGAAGACTAGCAACTATCTGCTAACATAAATTATGATTAAAATTAAAGGAAACAAAAGTGGATATAGGAAATAATTAAAAATTAGTGTATTGTAAGAACAGGTATATCTTACTGGCTATAATTTTAAAGGATAATTCAGGGGATAGGGTATGATAAAGATTATTATAATTAGAGCATAAGATTCGAAAAGGGTCGTGTTGAGCGTTATTAGACCTACAGAAGGGTAAACGAAACGGACGAAAGGTACGTGTAGGTCTAAGGGGAACAGAAAAGTCAAGCAGGCCAAGAAGTGCTTCTGAGTCAACAAGCCCAACTAGGAGCTTGTGTACAAACATAACGCCGCTACAAATTCTGCGATGGCGCAATGAAGGGAGGTCTAAAAGTTGTAGCCTCGATTGATAAGGTGGCAAGATTCTATCCGAGTCCCAGTTAAAATTACGTAAGGCAAAAATTAAAAATTGTTTTTGGACCGACTCGAGAATGGACTGTTGCTCCTTGTACTGTGGACTCCACACACAAGAACAATATTCCAGAATCGGACGAACCAAGGAGACGTACAGTGTTTTGGTGACATACGGGTCATCAAACTCCTTGGACCAACGCTTTATAAACGCTAAAACACCCTTAGCTTTATTTACAGTTGCAGCTATATGGCTATTAAAACACAGTCTATGATCGAAAAGAACTCCAAGGTCATTAGAACTCGAAATTCGTTCGAGGGCATGAATTCCTAGAGCGTACGAGACAAAGTGTGGAGTGCGACGGTAAAAAGTCATAATTTTGCATTTAGAAAGGTTCAGAAAGAGGAGATTTGTTGAACACCAAATTTGCAACTCGTTTAGGTCGAGTTGAAGGCGTTTGTGCAGGTACCAATCAGAGTAGGAGAGATAGATTTTAGCATCGTCAGCGTACATTAGTGTAGAGGATTATGTTATAACTTGAGGAAGGTCATTCACAAATAAAATACAGGCGGTAAGCGGAAGCCGCTTGCTCGTGCTTTTGCCCGGCCAGATATATGTACACAAAATGGTTCGCTATGCAACCTATGCGGCGAGAGATTAGAGGCAAGTGAGATTCGGCAAGAGCCGAAGCGGCAGGTGCAGAGCGCCCTTTAACAGGGAGAGCGCGGCAGCACTGCCGAGCGCTGGAGACTACATAAGTTTAGGTTTAGATAATCTTATTCAAATAGGTACTGCCACATTAAATATTATATTATCTTATAATATTATAAATTATAAAAATTATAAATTATCTTTTAACTAACCTTTGGTCAGCAATCGTGTACCCCCTGCCAAGTGATAACGCTTGATTCTAATTTATTATAGTTAATGGCAATCCAGGGAATCCTAAAAGTAAAAAATATTGTATGAGCGCTTTGGATAAAATAAATACATACATCTGAAAAAGGACTATCGCAGGTTTCCAAAGAAAATACAATTTTGGACGAAAGTTCTCGTTACTTAAGTAGATCTAGAAGACAGACATCTCCGAATTAAAGAAAGCGTTTCTTAACTTAGATAAAGGGCTATTCAAAAAACAACAAAATCTTGGGAAAATTCTAAAATATTTTTGTTAAGTAACACTAGTCAACACGATTTTTCCTCAAGGAACAAAACGAACTTTTTCTTAAAGATTTGGGGCTTAGAAATGGTTTGATGATATTTTTCGACTTTTCCTGAGATTTTAAAGTCAAAATTTCGTAAAAAATACCGCACAAAAATCATCATTTTTGCATTTCAATGCTTTATATTTTCCAGACGGTAAGCTGTAATCACAAAGTGTTTGGGCTTAACTTCTAGCTGTTTTAATTATCTTTTCAAAATAGCAAAGTTCTTTACAACCAGACGTAAGATACTAGAGTTATGTGAAAAAACAAGCGCTACCTCTGAAAAAAGCTTAAAGAAAAATACCAGACTTCAAAAATTTTTCAAAAAAAAGTTCTGCCATAGAAAAAAAACCATAATTCTTTAAAAAATTTTAAATCTCCATATCTATCAGAAAAAGTCGGTTTGGATCCTTGAGGAAAAAAAAAGTTCGATTTTGTCGAGTAGTGTAATTAGAAAAATACCAAAAAAAACGAGAACAAACTTTGTGAGTCGCTGCAGTGAATGCGACTTTACTTTTAGCGTACTCAGTCAGATTATATGTGAGCTTATGATTTATGTGGAATTTTTAGATATTTTATCTGTTTACATTTTTTTGCAACATCTGGCGTCTACATCTACAGTGAAGGTTCTACATCTCTTTCGTCAGGACCGCACGCACAATGCACAAGGCGGAGTGTGTGCGAGCTTGAAAGAGTCCATGATGCAACTATATAAGGTGGTCTTATCGCGAGATCTGATCTCTTTTGATGACGGTATTTTTGCCAGTCCTTTGTAAAATGTTGGCAAAAGAGTTTGTGTAGCGCACTTTTTTGTCATTGTCTTCTTCTTGCTTACGAATGACCCGTAAACAGAAAACAATAAAAAGAATGTGCTCGCTAGTTTTTTGAACCGACATTTTTTTAATCAAGGCCTATTGTGTTATATATAAAAATTTACGAGTACGAGTATAATTTGAAGCAAACATTTCAGGGACTCCGATTTTTCCGAAAATGCAAAATAAAACGGAGAAGACTAATTACACTACTCGACAAAATCGAACTTTTTTTTCTTCAAGGAACCAAACTGACTTTTTCTGATAGATATGTGGATTTAAAATTTTTTAAAGAATTATGGTTTTTTTTCTATGGCAGAACTTTTTTTTGAAGAATTTTTGAAAACTGGTTTTTTTTTTTAATCTTTTTTCAGAGGTAGCGCTTGTTTTTTTCACATAGCTCTAGTAGCTTACGTCTGGTTGTAAAGAACTTTGCTATTTTGAAAATACTCAACCGTCAACGTCTACAGACGTATTTTTGTATCGCTCCGCGGTGAAAATCAATTAAATCAATTAATCGCGATTAATCATAAATTAAATTCGCGAAAAAAAGCGCTCGGGGTAGGCATGGGTACTAGCGATCGTGCTGCCCATGAATACCATCCAATCGAGTAATAAAGACTAATAGAAATAATAGAAAAGAACAAGTGTCAACGTCTAAGAGCACCAGCTCGGTAAAGAGCACAAGCACTGTAAGCAAAGCCAAAATGAGCCAAGCCCGGCAACAACAACAAGACGAGCGTCGGCTCTCGCAAGCAAAAAACAACGCGTACTTCTCTATACGCTCGCCAAAGGCAGCAGTACCAACAAAAACTGCATCACTGCAAGTGAACGAGGAGAGAGCACGCTCTCTCTCCCCTGCATTGCAAAGTGGGTCATGGAGTGCGCAGTGCCCATCCCCCGACTCGTACTGCCTAACCAGCGATTTGCTAATATCGACAACAACTAGTACAATGCCCTCGCTCAAAACTGTGTCTTCGACCACAACAACGACAACAACCACAACAACAACCACTGCAATTGCTCAGCGCCCGATACTGTCGACCCACTGCGACAAGCCCCAACTCTCCCAACCAATAAGTTCAAAAAATGCTAACGGAGCGTTAATTCAGACTGGGCTCGATCGCTATGTGCAAATCAAAAGAAAATTGAGCCCACAAAATGTGAAGAACAACAATGCAGCTAAAATAACTAAAATAACCGAGAACACTGTGCCACATAAGGCACTAGCAAACAATAGATTTGCGATACTAAGTGTCCCAAATGAAGATGAGATCACCCAAACAAAGGAACAAAGGATCAAAGGAATCGAACCAACAGTCCCAATCAATGAGATAATAGATGGACTTAACGATAAGGGCTTCGAAGTCAAAATGGCAATGAACATAATAAATAGAAATAAAATTCCCCAGCCAATGTTCAAAGTAGAACTGACACCTGAAAGTATGCATATAAGTAAAAATGAAGTTCACCCAATATACAAGCTTCAATACCTACTGCACCGTAGGATCACCCTTGAGGAACCACACAAACGAAATGGACCGGTCCAATGCACAAATTGCCAGGAATATGGACACACGAAAGCCTATTGCACTCTACGGGCAGTCTGCGTTGCCTGTGGTGATGTTCATCTCACTGAGGCCTGCCCCCAAAAATAAGGAGGACCCATCTGCCAAAAAATGTAGCAACTGTGGGGGAAACCATACTGCCGACTATAGAGGTTGTCCTGTCTATAAAGAATTGAAAAATCGCCTAAACCAACAAATAACTGCAGCTCGAAACCCGGTCGTCCGACAAAACTTAACATATATACCATCAACTACGACTCCAGGAGTTTCTTTTGCTCAGGCGTTAAGTTACAACAACGGGTCGTACGCCTCAGTCTCTAAGCCGACACTTCAACCAACCACAGCTGGAATAATGCAGAATCAGGCATCAAATCAGATCCCAGAAATCACTGAACAACATACCCCTGCTAATCCATCCCATTGCCTAGTGGAATTGAGTCAATGCTGGTAACTATAACAAATACAATGGTAGCAATACAACAAACGATGCAGGAGCTTATGCGCAACCAAAATCTCCTCCTGGAGCTCCTAATCAAACAGAAATCTGTTTAAATGTCCTGTCTAAATATATGTTTCTGGAATGCAAATGGCATTTCTCAGCACAAATGCGAGCTCTTACAGTTCCTCGCTCAACACGACATTGACGCCATGCTCATATCAGAGACTCACCTAACAAATAAAAACTATTTTCACCTCGATGGCTATAACTTCTATGCGACAAATCATCCCGATGGTAAGGCACATGGAGGTACTGGCGTTCTGATCAAGAATCGCATTAGGCATTATCCATTGCCTTCATATGCTACACCTTATCTACAGGCAACAGCAATTCATATTGAAATTCAGGGCGGCTACCTAAACCTAGCCGAAGTATACTGCCCCCCACGTTTCTGCATTTCCGAAACAGAATTTGTAACATTCTTTGACCTACTAGGTGACCGATTTATAGCAGCTGGTGACTACAATGCCAAGCACACCCATTGGGGATCTAGACTTACCAACCCGAAAGGAAGACAACTATATAACGCTATAATAACCCCACGAAACAAGCTAGACTTTATCTCTCCGGGCAAGCCCACATATTGGCCCACAGATCCAAAAAAGCAACCCGACTTGATTGATTTTGCAGTTACACGAAGGGTGCTGCAAGCTCAGATTAATGTAGATCACTTAGCAGATCTATCATCGGATCACTCGCCCATTCTACTTCACCTTTACGACCATCCACAGCTTTCGGAACGCCCACACTTTCTAACTTCTAGCAAAACAGATTGGCTCAAATACAGGAAGTACATAAGCTCTCATATTGATAGCTGCCCAAACATTAATTGTAAAGATGACATTGATAGGTCAGTCGAAGCATTGGTTTCTTCAATGTCACTGGCGACAAAACACTCAACACCAATATTAGCATCTAATAAACTTTCCAACAGCAGTCGTATTTCTAGGCACATTGAAGTGCTGCTACGCGATAAAAGAAGGCTTCGCCGAGAGTGGCAAGCACACAGATCACCTGCATCGAAAGAGCGGCTAAAAATAGCCAACCACCTACTACGCAGAGCCCTAGAAGATGAAAAAAACCGAGCTGAAATATCCTATATGGAGCAACTCTCCCCAACTAGCAAACGATTCCCACTGTGGAAAGCAAAATCAGGCGTATGCCCACCAATCGAGAGTGAATCACCTTTGCGTACACAAACAGGAGAGTGGGCTCGCAGCAACAAAGAGAAGGAAAATACATTTGCCGTCCATCTAGAAAACGTCTTCAAACCGCACCCAGCAACAAATAGCTTTGTGCTCCCACCAACCAACAATCCCGAAGCTACTCCGCCTATCATATTCCAATCAGGAGAAGTCACAAGGGTCATTAAAGACCAAATCTCAAAGCAAAAGAAAGCTCCGGGCCACGATTTCATCTCTCCTAAAATGATCATAGAATTGCCGAGCTTTGCAGTGTATTTCCTTACTGTAATATTCAACAGCATGATGAAATGGGGCTATTATCCTCAAGAATGGAGGAAATCAGTCATCACAATGATCCATAAAGCCGGAAAAGACAAGTCCAAGCCATCATTAAATAGACCTATCAGCCTACTGCCTTGCCTATCAAAGATATTTGAAAAGCTGCTCCTGAATCGTATCAAACAACACCTACACATCAACGGTGCCATCCCGACTCACCAATTTGGATTTCGCGAAAAACACGGAACCATTGAACAAGTAAACCGTATAACCTCTGAGATACGAAATGCATTTGCTCCGCTGTTTTTCTGGATGTCGCACAGGCTTTCGACCGCGTTTGGCTAGATGGCTTAATCCACAAAATCAAAATATTACTTCCACAGAACATCCATGGAATA